TTCGATTTCCCAAAACCTACTTAATTGATTTTGCACGTCATTAATTTTACTGAAATTGCAGCGCGATTGCTTAGCAAAACTAGTTGAAATGGGCCCTGACACCAACCAACCAAATTTACTCTTTTGAAGCGTGGGCAGATTATGTCCCAAATTTATTTGACCTATACAGAGCAGATTCCAAAAATGACTAGCGCCAATAAGTATTTCAATATTTCCTGGCTTGTGGAATGCCGGGTCAGCCAGCTTAAGGTTTTGAGGAATGTTTATATTTGATAAATTAATGTTATGGCTTGGTAAGGAGCTTGTTATTTTATCAATAACAAGGCATGATAACTTTAGCTCAGAGCTATTATAGTGCGATTGAATTTGTACATCACATTTCATTTGAACGGGCGATTCTGACTCGCTTATCCCGATTATAGTCATGTCAATTTTGCTTGTTTGAATCTTTAATTTCTTGCACAAATCTGAGGTTATAAAACATGATTGAGAACCAGAGTCTAATAAGACTTTAGCTGTGCGCACTTTACCACAAGAACCAAACACCTTCACGGATGCTGTTGGCAACAACACTTGCGCTGTGTTGGCAGAGAACGCCGCGACTAGTTGTGAGTTCTCATCTTCAGGAGCGATTTTGACCTCTTCATGCAAAAGTGTATTATGCCGTTTGTGGCATTTATTGCACAGATATTTTGATTGGCAGCTACTGATAAAGTGACCCTTTTTTAAACAGAGGATACATATTCTAAGAGATTTAACCTTTTCCTGCCTATCCTTTACAGAGAGTTTCAGAAAGCTGTCACATGACCAAATCGCATGAGAATTTTTGCATACCACGCAGGACTCCTGCTTGGTTACTAGTGATCTGGATTTTACCGTTTCTTGATTTTTGTGTTTTTGCTTGGCCTCTACGGTTTCTAATAAATCTGATTTTTCTTTCAAAAATTCGTAGAGGTGGTTAAAACTAGGCATATCGATTTTTTTTGTATGTTTTTCCCATTCGCGCATGGTCATAGAATCTAATTTTGAGGTGACTAAATATATGATTAAAGTCTCTCCCAAAGTTTCGGAAGAAGTTAAACTCTTTATGTTGGCCAAATGTTTTGACACTGAATCTAATAAATTTCTTATTTTCATAGAAGATTCCTTTTGGATGGACTCTAAATTAAACAAAGATTTCACATGATTGTGAATCAACACCTTTTCACTGTTATACCGTTCTTGCAGTCTGGTCCACGCGAGAGTATAGTTTGTTGTACTAAATTTAATAGATTCTATTACCCTTGCCGCGTCGCCTTCTAAACTTGCCTTCAGGTAATGAAATTTTTGTGCCTCGTCTAAATTCGCATTTTCCTCTATTAAACTTACATAGAGATCCCGAAATTCAAGCCAATTTTCGCTTTTCCCGTCAAATTTCGGCAGTTTAATTGTCGGTAATTTAATAGAATTTTTAACGGAACGAGCACTAGACGCAATAGAATTCGCGACGGAATTTGCCGGTGAACCGCGAGAGGAGAGCCCTCTGTCAGTATCTATAATTTTACTTAATAAACAATCGGCCTTAGCCGTGGCCTCAAAGAATTTTTGCTGGAAGTCTTCCAATTCCTTCAATTCCGCCTCGGCTTCATTTGCTTCGGAATAAATGTTGCCAAGATTCATTTCAAATTGATCTAGCAGCGGTTCAATCAGCGGTAAACGCCGTTGAATATTAGCTGCGCTAACACCATCAATAATTTCACCTGCTTTTACCTTTGCATCAATTTCGTTTATAAAGTTCGTAAACACGGTCAATTTGCCTTTTATAATAGCGCGTTGTTTTTTAGACACATCCATTTTTTTTTTTATTTGCAATTTGTTTTGATTGATTATGAATACCCAGTACAAATATGAAATATTAAAATATTTATGACAACAATGAATAATGCCCTTCTTTTAACACCTTAATTAGGTAGATAATAACACCTAATTAATTATTATATTTTGCTTTTTAATTTAACTGGTCAATGACCCTCGCTTTGTTGTTTTGTTGTACCTACACGCTACACGCATTAAAAAATCAATGGTCCCTAATTAAAAAAATCCTGTATGCGCTCTTACTAGTTGCTTGTCAATATTATTATTGGTTGATCAAAATGATTTGATTAAATTTATTGACAAATTGAGATTTGAGCTAGGAATAAGGAATATTGGGAACTCACCCAGATAGTTTTACGATATGTGCGTATGCGATTTCTCATGAATAGAGCTGATGTCATCTACCTGCATTCCTTAGTTTTTGCGCCAAACAGTGCAGCTCATTATCAACGGATGGGACGTTACCATTCCATCTTTTACTTGGAACACTGAGGGGAAGCCGCATGCGAATATCACGTCAACAGCTAAAATTGATAACACATTTGATTTTTCTTCTGTTATATTCGACTCGAAGACCAATGTTTTGCCCTTAAATAGAGTGGACTGTATTACTTGTTACTTTCGGTAAAAACGAATGGCTTCTCGAAGATATAAAAACAACCTTCCTGCTAACATGCTTTATTGCAACTGCGTGCTCCTCCTCTCTCTCTCCATGCGCAAGAAAACACAAAACTATACATTCAGTTCCTTAACAATGGTCCTAAAACATTGCGTGTGATTGACGAAGCCTTAGTGCGTCCACATGTCATTTTTGCAGATTTTTGACTATCTGGAATAAATTTGCTAATGTTTCTGGCCAAGCAGTCCAAACTATTATAACTTAAACCATGTTTCACATTATGATAAATAAAAGCTACTTCCGCCATCATAACCAAAGCTTCTTCCTTTGTGTCCTTTTTTATAACAAAATTCTCCATGCAGGTTGATATCTTTTTTGCTGACAACATCTTTTTATGTTTAGTACTACTAGCGTGAACCTATAGCAATAATTTATAAGAAATTTGTAACGAAAAAAGTTCAAAACTTACTGTCAACGCACGGCGACCTTCATATTGAATTGCAATATCCGAATTACATGTTTTACAAATTGCAGTATAATCATTTTTTTTCTGAATCCAGTCTTTTAAATCAGGATCGTTCGACCACTTGTCATTAAAACCGGTGAATCGTTTTTTGCTTGTTGATGGATACGGAAATGGTTCCATTACACTTTAGAACACTAAAACGACTGAACTTCAAGAAATTAAACACTCAACGGTTTTTACTCGAGGCAAGAAGGTAATGGTAAGTGCACCGTGTAGCGTATTGCGTATTGTATCTGTATGTTGGGGTGGGTGCGGGTGGGAGTCGGAATGAGAGCGCGGATGCGCTGCGCACACAGTCAAGTGTTGCCCTTATGGCCTTGCCGATCGGACAACACTAATCACATTTATATCATTATGTAATATGACGCGATGGGGGCGATCCGGGACACCAATGTACAATTACTGGACACCGATGTACAATTACTGGACACGGGACAAGAGACTAAATTCCGGGACTTTTCCGGATTTCCCGGCCATCTGGCAACCCTAGTAAACGGCTGTTTTTTCTAACTCTATACCTTGACCTGTAAGATAATGTTTAAATTCCATGTTACAAAATTCGGTACCGTTGTCCACATGCAACACTGATTGATTGACCGAATTTATTCGAAACTACCGCGTTGAAGTTTTTAAAACAGTCCAATTCGTCACTTTTATGCTTAATAAAATTTACGACTCGAAAACTTGTACACCCGTCTTTGAATAGAATAAAGTACCTAGCTCCTGAAATTGACTGTTCAGGCATAGGTCCGCACACATCACTGTAAATTAACTCGCCTGACGCCTGGTTTTGATCCTCGTTAACAGCTGATTTGAAGGGCAACTTATGGGCATTTACGATAATTGGATCGAGACAAATGTCTCGGTAAAATTCGGTAAACAGCTGTTTACCTACGGTGAGCGTGGTTATGGTTGATTTATCGAACGACACGGTAAATAGAGAGCGTCAGATTTGTTTTGTAGGTTAGGTTAAAGGGACTGTTTCATAAATTTGCATGCTTTCTTGGTTTGTTTTTCTTTACTTTGTAATGGAAGTTGCAAAAAGTAATAGAAAACGGAAGTTAATTTTGGCGGCAATAGCCCAGTTGATGGAGAGTGATAGTGAGGATGAAATGATTACAATTTTATCAAAGTCAGTACATCTACAAAAAAGACCTCGAATTGCCATAAAAGATTATATTGAAAATGTGGCATCTTTGTATGATGATAGTTGTATGTTATTACCAATGTGTACAGTTGTATATGAAAATATATTGCTTTCAGTTTTTAAAAGTCATTATAGACTTTCACATTCTACCTTCAATTACATTCTGGGTGGAATTGGTAAATTTTTAATAGACAAAAGAGACAATGGGGTAGGACCGACTGCAAAACCTCCACAAACACAACTACTCATAGCCTTGAGTATGTTGTGTAACCAGCAAGTTTATCGACTTATTTCCGAGAAATTTAATATAAGCAAATCAACAGCGTGGTTGTATGTGCAAAAAGTATGCACAATTTTAACGGATCAATCGTCTAATTTAACGATCAATTGAACTTACCTGTGAAGTTCGATCGAAATTATATGAGGTATCCAGTCCGAAGATATAATTGATATTTACTACGTAGTCCGCCCTCTTTGAGCTAAAGCCACAAGGTTTAAAGAAAACAAAATTCCCGCTTACCCCCTCTGCTCGTGCGTGTAGAGGTTTGAGAGAGTCATTATGTTGAAAGAAGTTTATTTGCCCCTTGGGAGGGGGGGAGGGACCTTATATCTTCGGACTGGATACCTCATATAATTTCGATCGAACTTCACAGGTAAGTTCAATTGATCGTTAAATTATATTTCGGTATCCAGTCCGAAGATATAATTGATATTTACTACGTAGATGTTTAAAGAGCTGCGGCAAATAAACCTCCAAGTCATCACAATCTAGTAAAAACTCTAAGTTAGCCCAATAGCTAAACGTTAGTTGTGTTACAAAATTTATGTATTTATCAAACAAAAAAATGTGTCTATACATGAGATTTACATAAAAATATTTCGTCAAGAGAAATCGTGGTTATCCAAAATTGATAATGCAAAGTTATCTTGCTGATATAATGGCCTGTTGTAAAACCTGGCGAAAACTTCAGAATTTTTACTCCACCCGGCTGTTCTTCTAATAGCCTCTAGAGAAACGCCCTTTCGCCAAGCCATCGACGTCGAAGCGTGGCGAGTGGAATGAGGTTTGAAAATCGACGTATCCACGCCTGCGGACTCGAGGCTGTCTTTGATCCAGCGACTCAAGGTCTGTTTGGTAGCTGGTCGGTGTGGTTTCTTATAAGTTAAAAACAACAGATCCGAGTCAGGATGTCGAATGTTTGCTGTGTTGTTCAGGTATTTTAACAGCAAGGTAGCTACGCAATGTTAGGATTGACCTGGTAAAACGGTAGTTCTAGCACTGGTTGCGACCGTTCCAATCCGGATGTCTTTATATTGTCCGATATGAAGATTCTGACTCCCTTCTCATGTCGAACAATATTTGACGTTCTAATAACAGAAAAGGTTTGTACACGGTGTCCTGTAATCAGTGCCAACAAGGTTACTAAGCGTTTCGATAGTGTCTGTAGATCTACGACTTCTTCCGTGTTGAAAAAATCAAGAACTATTTGTGGATTCCAGGTAACATCATATCTAGGTTTGGATGGTCTCAACTTAAAAACTCCTTTTAAAAATCGCTTAATTAAGGAACACTGCTCTAGGTTGACGGCTAAGACTAATGAAAGTGCAGACCTGTGACTATTAAAGGATCCATAACCTAGGTTATAATTCTCCAAAATATCCTGCAAAAATCGCAGTACCTCAGTAGAATTTGCAGAAAAAGGATGAGTTCTAGTCTTCTTACAGAAGTCCCACCACAGCTTATAGGTCCTGTTGTATTGTTTGAGAGTTGCAGGTGCCAACGATTTCAGTATGGTGCTTGTAGACTCCTCTGGAGCTCCTTTCAGGCGGAAGGCTTTCCTGACAAAATTGTCGCCACCAGGGTAAGGTCCTTCGCCAAAGGATGTGGTCGATTGCTGAAAGGAGATGTCAACAGATTAATATCTGGATCAAAGAATAATAATTTGCTTGCGATAAGTTTGCAAAAAAGTGGAAACCAGGGTTGTGATTTCCAAAAAGGAAGAATTACAATTCCCGTCGCCTCGTCTTGCACAATTTTATTCAAGGTTCTCAACACTAAGTTAAAAGGCGGGAACGCATAGAAAAAATAGCCCTGCCAATTTTCTGTAAAAGCATCTATAGCTTCTGCAGCTGGGTCTCTATGCCAAGAAAAGAATTTGTCGCACTTGTGATTGTCTTTTGACGCGAACAGGTCAATATCAGGGTTTCCGAAATTCTCTACTATTAGTAGGAAAGCGTGATGTGACAAGGCCCATTCCGTATCTGGAGGTAGACTTCGAGATTCGGCGTCCGCTTGCCAATTGTCCTTAGAAGAAACATAAGCAGCAAAAATCCAGACGTTTCTCTGTTCGCACCAGTTCCAAATATCTTGAGCATAATTATTAAGGGTCTTGTGCCGAACGCTCCCCATGCGGTTAACGCAGGCGATAGCCGTGGTGTTGTCCGATCTTATCAGAATGTTACAGTTCTTAAGATTCGCGGCGAAGCTTTTTAAACCGTTAAAAATCGCTAATAGTTCTAAAGTATTAATGTGTAACAATTGTTCGCCTAGATTCCACCATCCTCTAGCCGTCTGATTATTAGCGCAAGCCCCCCAACCCGTTAGGGACGCGTCTGAAAAGATTATTAAGTCAAAGTAATCTTTCTTTATGTCGTTGGAGGACGTCTGAATGTGTGAAGCCCACCAGTATAAATCAGAAAGAACTGATCTACTTAAAGGAAAGAACCAAGAGTTAAAACTTTCTCCCGAAAGTCTAAGAGCCCTGATCTTGGCTCGTTCAAGAGATTTTGTGTGGGCCCACCCGTATTTAATGGCGGGGCACGCAGCAATAAGAACGCCGATTAGTCGCGCAAAGTTTCTGATTGTACTCCTTCTGCGGTTTAGGGTGGTAATAATGAAATTGAAAATTTTCTCGCGTTTGTCGACAGGTAAAGCTAACCGTAAAGAGGGAGCATGGAACATGAAGCCCAAAAATTTACAGCTTGAATTAGGAGATGTGTTACTTTTTGCGTAATTAATTATAAAACCCAAAGATTCCAGTAAGTTTATGCTCACTCGTGTGTGGTTTTCGCACTCTTCAAAAGAGTCTCCGATAATAAGAAAATCATCTAAATAATTGATTATTGTAATTCCTTCTCGCCGTAAAAAGGAAACCACTGGTTTAATTAATTTAGTAAAGACATAAGGAGCGCAGGCCAAACCAAACGGCAAGCAGGAAAACTCATAGAGACTATTGTCAAACCAGAAACGTAGAAATTTTCTGTCGTCCTTAAAAATTGGGACTACAAAATAAGCGTTTTCTAAATCAATCGTTGTTAGAAAAGAATTACTTCTTATTAGCTTTGATGCTGTTCTGTAGTCCTCCATTTTAAAATGGGGTGTCGACAAGAAGGTATTAAACTTTTTCAGATTTAAAATAAATCTCTTTTTGCCGTTAGGTTTATCTGCTAAAAAAAATTGGCGAAATGAATTCGCCCGCAGAACTGGAACATTTTTCCACGGCTCCTAAGGCTAACAATTCCAGTACCGCTTCCCTTAACAATTTGCAATGGTTGACTGATGTTTTAAAACATGTCGGAGAATCCTGAATCGGTTTTGATAAAAAGGGCAATTTGAGACCCTGTGTCCAATCCAGAATCACAGAATTGGAAGATATTTGAGACCAGGCAGAATAAAAGTGTCTAAGACGGCCGGCGAACTTATTACCTACCTCGGTTATTGTTGTTTGCCTCTGCCTCTGAATGTGTCTCTCCGACTGTTCGATTCTCTGCGGTAGGAGCGCCCTTTGTAAAGATCCGTTTCTCCCTTGCGACGAATCGGGCGATTCCTGTTTTCCGACTGCGGTCGAGTAGCGGTGGCCGGCTTTTTGTTCCATCTCGCTGATTTTTGACGGAAGGATGTGGTGGGTACGGCAGGTGCTCTTAACTCTCTAGCCGTAGATTTAATAATTTTTGCCGATTTAATTTTGTCCGCTAAGTCCGACCCGAACAAAAAGGTATCCACTTCTGACGGATCTACAAGATCCTTAATTTCTTTATTAAGGATCGGTGCGATTAATGAACGTCGCGTCATTGATTCCGTAAAGAATAAATCAGTAAAAAGCCGGCCGGCGTCCGTAAACGAAGTTAGCAATTTGTCCCTTAAGGGAGAAGGAATGTTGCTAGACTCCTCTAAAATAGCCGAAAAACCTAGACCTAACGCTAATAGGCCCCTACTTAATTGGCTTTGTAGGCTCGATCTCGCTTTGTCGCGATTTAAGTTAGCGCCTGACAGAACCGCTGCTACTTCCGGGTTTAGGATCGGTGGACTCAAAGCTTCACAATTCGAATCGAGAATATACGTTTCGAAAAGCTTAGTTTTTAGCTGTTGAGTTATGCCGTGCTTTAAAAAAAATTCCACCTAGCTATAATTTCTGGGTGTAAAAGGAGTTTCTGAGAAATATTTTTGTCCGGGTTATCCCCCAACAGCTCCAAAATCTCCTCCGTCAACTCTGCCTCATCGTTGATTAATAAAACGTCAGCATTCGTAACCGAATTCTCCGTAGGAACATGTAGGTCACGGTCATGGTCCTGTGTGGATAAATTCGCCGTTTGCGGGATGGAAATGGCGCCGGTCTGACTGCGGCCTTCGCTTGAAGGTGATACCGAGCCGCGCGGGCTGCGACTATCACTAAAAGAGCAAGATTTGCGAATATGTGATACTGTATCCCGCGGATAACAGCTATCACGGTCGCTATTGCCCGACGCATCTGAACCCACGCTGCTCGAGCGATGGCGAACAGAAACGTGGCGTCCTTTAGGCGGCCTGTTTTCTTTCGATGTCGAACGACGAGCGCGGGTACGTTTACGTTCCAATTTTCGTTCTAATTTAAGCAAACGTCGAAGGAGCTGTTTTTTAGAAAGCCCTTCATCTGAATCGCTTGATCTAGAGCGAGCTCGTTTACTATGTTTTCCCATCCTAAAAATGAAAATTCCTAAAACGTTAGTGTAAGTACTTACAAGGACAGATCTACCTAACGTGGCTAGCACAAGAGAACGAATGCAGTGATCACAGATGGCATTGAACAGATTTCGTTAGGTTGATCGTAAAAAATCGTGATAAATCGTGAGAATTCCATTTTGAATGGCAAAGCAGCGGCGTGTTAATTTTTTCTTTACAATTTTTAATATAGTGGACCTTTGTACTTACCAAAGTAAAAATTCAAATACATTAATACATATATGAAATAAAACAAGGTAATATGTATACAAAATTATATTTTTAATCAGAGTCTAAATCAGACCCCTCATTTTCTTTGTTTTTGTACAAATCAGTACTATTCATTTTCTTACACATCTCTTTGTTTATTTCAAACTTATCGCATTGACCGCCTTCGGAAACCAAACTTTTTGTTAGTAGTATACCCTCCAAGGTACTACTAATTAATCTGTTTCTCATATTGGTTTTATTCAAATTTATTTGAGAAAAACACCTTTCTACATTCGCACTGGAGTGCGGTAAAGATAATAAATTAAATACGAAAGCAATTAATTTACCAAATTTTTGTTCACCGGTACCCAATTTTATTTTAGAAACTTTCCGCCAAAATGATACGATGTCATCACCAATACATAAATTAAAATCATCAAAATTTATATTTCGCAACATTCTCCATTGACTATCGATGTCTTGAAGACTATGGGAGTGCAGATTGGAAAAATGTGACACAACATCGGCAATAGATTTAACTTTTCTATTTACAACAGTCTCTGGATCCATGAAATCCAATTTTGAAAAAATAGAATCTTTTAAGGGAAATCTAGACAAGATCTGTTTTAAAGATTCAATATAAAATTGAAGGCATTGCTTTTTAATTTGCAAAAGGGTCTCTGAATTAGCACTGCTATTTATTACGGCGCCAAAGTACATTTCTTCAATATTTTGGAAGTTCCGTGGATTTTGGAAATCTATCTCGTAAACATTTAATTTACTCATGATACTGTCTTTAATAAAACATTCCATAATTGTTTTTATGGTGTTGCTGACTTCTTTATAAATAGTATGAATTTGTGGCTGTTCACTTTGCATTAACGTATTTAATTTATTAAAAAATGGTAAAGCATAAGCCAAAAATTCTAAGTACAATTTTGTTTCAGGTTGTTGAAGAAGGTGTAAAATAGAAAATGCTGCTTGATCTTTTTTAGATGATGCTTTATCCGTAAAGTATAGCGTTAAAGCGCCGTATTGAGTGAGTAACCTAGTGACAACTGACTCTAGTGACAGCCATCTTGTAGAAGATGGGTGTAGCATTTTTACTGGAGATACATTAGCAAATTGTTGAAATTCTTTCAATTCCTCAGTTCTTTTGGGACTATTGGAAAAGTAATTATAAACATATCTGGCGAATTTTTCAACTTCTTCAGGAAGCTTTTCGCACGCATATGACGCGCAAAGGTGGAAACTGTGACATATGCATTTCATGACAAATATTCCAGGTATAAGTTCTTTGATACGACTTACGACAGAATTTTGGCCCCCCATCATATTATTTGCTCCATCAGAAGCAAAACCGATACAGTTTTGTTTAAAATCAATTCCATACTTATTGAAAAATTGAATTATATGTTCAAACAAAGCTGCGCCAGTAGCGTCATGTATTGGAATTAACGCCAAAAAGTAGTCTTTTACATTATTGTTATTACAATTTATCCTTGCAACTAGGCACAAATTTTTAGTGCACGAGCGATCAGTTGACTCATCGGCAATTAAACTAAATTTGTTACTGTTCATCAAAGCTATTAGATTTTGCCGATGAGTTTCACCTGTTACGTTTGTAATAATTGATTTAATTTTGGTAGGACCGCATTTGATTTTTTTAGCGATGGCCGAGTCACTGCACACAGCACGCATTAAATCTGGAAGATGTTCCATTATCTTAAATGGAAGATTATGTTCCGCGACAAAACCGGCAATTCGTATCTCGGCTTCTTTTGCCCTCATCTCTGTGGTCATTTCTTTTGTCTTCTCAGCAAACATGGACGTAATGGTTTTTTGTCCTACGGTAGATACACAAGATTTCGTATGTTTTGATGTATACTCGTGTTTTACCAAATCACCCTTTCCATGGGTGATTTTTATGTCACATTTGCATGCTTTACACCTATATAAAATTAAGCTATATTTAACACTTTGTGTTCCGTATGAACTATAGGCGTAACTTACCAACCAAAAGATGCTCCATTTTGGCTTTCTTGTAACCATGGCATTTGTTTCTCCCAATCCTTCTTGTATTTTTGTTTGTACGCCAATTTAGGCCTCTTACGCGACGTTGAAGCCGAAGGTGAACTATCATCTGTGTCACTATCAACACGATTTGAATCGGAACCGGAAGACATTTTCGCTTCAGCACATTAGTGATTAATAGTTTATTTAGTTACGTATATTGTCAATAATAAAGTTGATGAAGAAACCCGAGTATACGTACAGGTACGGTCCAAACTGACTATGACTAATGAAATTAGCAAATTTGCATTAGAAACCGAACTGTGCGGTGTGCCAAAGTTAAACTGACTAATTAAAAATTAAAATCTCTCTATCTATAATAGGTATGCGTAAGGATTTCTACAAGACAATAATTCCTTAGTAAAAGTAATATACGCTGAGCGCGCAAGCCGACATCTGAGTGGCCAGGGATAAGGCAGCGTGGAAAAACACAACACAACACATCATGATTCATTCAACATTCACGTCGGTATCACGTTACTAACGTTACGCTTACGCTGCTTCAGCTCATTCTTTACTCATATCCATATGACTGTTGAATCAGCTGAATGTGCTATTGTTTTAATAACTGTTTCGTTTTGTGCATATAAATTTTATTCATGAATCAGATTAAAAAATTGAAAGTATTTTTTGAAATACGGAAAATCTTGAGATTTACTACTGTATTCGTGAGATCGTGAGATGTAACTCAAGATCGTGAAATCTCACGATAAATCGTGAAATCTGGGATCACTGTGAACAACACACTTGCTACATAATACCTGTAACAGAGCGGGAAGAGGGAGAGCTTCTTTTTCTTTAAACCTTGTGGTAATGGCACAGAGAGGGCGTACTACATAGTAAAGTAAAATATCTTCGGAATGGATACCGAAATATAATTATATTGTGTGGCCCACTCGGACAGAAAGCACATCAAGTAATGCTGCAATTTTCCAAACGTGCGGGGTTTCCTGGCGTGTTAGGGGCAGTTGATGGTACACATATACCAATTACGGCTCCTTCTCAAGATCAAGGAAGTTATTGTAAATAGACATCACTACCATTCTATAATCTTGCAAGGTGTGTGTGATGCCAATTATATGTTCACAGATGTTTTTGCAGGTAATATCCATGCTTTTGTTCATATTAACGTACATAATTTATAGGTGTTGAACTACAAATTTAACTTCTGACATATACTGTATACATGTATGACTTTGTGGTTTTATCTTGGTCGTTGCTCGTTAAAATGTTATGCTATTCAAGTTAATTATTATTGTAACCTTTGTATTAGTATAATATACATTTTGTGTACCAGTTTACCATTATTGGCCTCAATAGGTTATGGGCCCAGGCCGTTAATCTGCGTAGAATTCGTTTTCTTTTTTTTAACAAAAAGAGAAGTTAGTTTTTTCTTTTTTCCTCGTGGTCGCGCCGCGTTTAAAGAAAAAAAACCGTACCTTTTGTTCCCAACAAAAAAAAGACAATGGATTTTAAAGTACAAGTGGATAAGCTGGTTGACGCCTCAAATTGGGCCTCTTGGAAGCGGCAAGTGGAACTGCTGTTGAAACACAATGGAGTGTTGGAGGTTGTGAAAGGGTTACGTAAAAAGCCTGTTGCTTTATTTGTCGATCGAATGAAAAGAAGGACCTAAAGTGCTTCAGGTGCCATGAAGTGGGACACTTTTCGAGTAAGTGCCCCAGAAAATCGAATCGGAGCTCAAAAAGTGGCAGCTCAACGACCGAGGGTAAGGCATTTATGTGTAGCGGATTTGAAACCGAGGAAGGCCATTGGATTGTCGATTCGGGTGCTTCGGCACATATAACATACAACAGAAATTGGTTTGTGGAGTATACCAGGTTCGAAATACCGAAACCCATTAAGGTAGGCAACAATACTTACATGCATGCTTACGGGGAAGGTGCCATAAATGTTAAGACGGTGACCGTGAAATTTGGGAAGTTAACCACTTGTCAAATGTATGGTACGTTCCAAAGGCTGGACAGAACCTATTTTCTGTGTGTCAGACTGTAGATAAAGGTTTTTCTTTTAGTGCAAATCAATCTGGTTGCATTTTCAGTAAGAATGGCCGAGTAAGGTTGAGCGGAACGAAATCTGAAAAGGGCCTGTATATTCTAAACATGGAAGTCATCATTCCAGAGAAATCTGCCGTTGCGTTTTTAACCACAGAAGAAGATACCTTGCAACTTTGGCACGAACGGCTTTGCCATCAAAATAAAAGACATGTTAAAACGCTCTTAAAACTAAGAGATGTCGATATCCGTTCGGAGGAAGAATTTTGCACCGGTTGTGCATATGGAAAGCAGCATCGAAGACCATTTGGTACGCGCCATTGTAAAGCAACCCAACCACCCTGTTGTAAATGCCTTATTGGAACCAATAAATTTTTTTATTGGGTCCTATTGGCACCAATATGTGTATATTGCCATTGAGAATTACCCCATCAAAACTTATAAAAATATGACTTGGGAATTCCGTTATGTGCCAATAGGACCCAATCATTACACATTACAATATAATACGCTCCAATCAGCATTCCCATACAAATTATTCATTTCCCAACCATTTCCAATGAAATTTGTCCCAATAGAAACTTATTAAGATTTGATTAGGAAAGTCCACTGGATACCAATAGGATTCATTCGTTACGGATAAATACACAATAGAAACTTATTTATATCCAGTGGTCGAA